GTACTTTTCTAATTTGGTGACCTATTATCCTCAAATACTTTAGTGTGTGTTCCTTATAATCAAGGACGTTCTCCTAGATAATCAATATGTAACCATCAAATTCAGGAAATGAACATTGCGTATTACCACATCTAATTGGGAAATAAAATGTGCAAAGACCTGGAGTTAGAAAACCAAAAGGGAAGAACATGCTCAGCATTTCTCAAGCTGAAAGAACTGAAGAAAAAATTCAAGCATCAGATTGCAATATTGCAAGATTCTATGGGCAAAATCCACCACTCATCTGTCAGTTTGTCATAATATGGTGGCTTGTATGTGGCTGCGAGGCAGGAGGCTATGTCATCAGTATTTCAAATATGAGCAGGGTCGCCCATGGTGGACAGGTTTCAGCAAGCTTCCAGACTAAGACAGACTCAGAAGACGAAAGACGCCATCCATTCTTAAAGAGTTGACCAGTGAAAACCTTATCAATAACAGTGAAACACTGTCTGATATATTGCTGAAACACTTTTTTTTTTTTCAATTGTGCTTTAGGTACACGTTTACAGAGCAGAGTTTGTTTTACATTCAACATTACATGTACATTTAGTTTCACTCCTCATTTAGCATCCCAACCCTAACCCAGTCTCCTCCCCTCCCTGCCCAGTAGCCCTCCCCACCATGCCCCTCATAGTTATGCACTCCTGTGTGTCCTGCATTTCCTCCGTGTGAATGTTGCCCCTCTGGTGCCCTGTGGTCAATTGCTCCAAGGGATGCATTTCCATAGAGTATGTGGGTGCGTCACCCTGGGTTGAGTTGTCTGCCTATACATCTTGTTTAGTATTGGGCTGAGAGCCAGCCCCTGGGAGTGAGTTTTATTCCAGGCCCAGAATGTATCCCAGGGCCATAGTACTGGGGGTCTCACCAGACTTCATCCGACCAGTAATTTTGGTCATTTTTGAGTTTTGGGATTTTGTTCCACGTTTTTACTCCCACTCTATCCAGGATCTCCAGACTTGATCCTTTCCTGAGGGGTTGGTGTTGGTAGCCAGGCACCATCTAGTTCTTCTGGTCTCGAAGGCCATCATGTCCTAGGGCTGATTGCTTCCAAATGCCCCTTTTTTTTCCACTCTTCTTCACTCCTGATGATAGGAGACCATTAGCTGCATCTTAGATGGCTGCTTGAAAGCTTTTAAGACCCCAGTCACTACTCACCAATGTAGAATAAGGAGCAAGACTTTTATGCATTTTGTTGTGCCAGTTGAGTCTAGTGTCCCCCAATATTATGGTCCTTAGTTGGTAGATCTGTTGGATCTCTCTCCCACGGCGTCTGGCTGTCTGTGAGGGATTACTCTATGTCTGTCTTCTGTTGCTTCTGTAAGGATTGTGGGTATTTTGTATCACTGGTACCTGTGCAAGATTAGCTTCTGCTGAATCTATCCTTGGTCTAGAGTATACTCCTGTTCACTGACCTCCATCTGATCTTCCCAGATGTTTATATGTTTATCTGTAGCCTGGTGCTTGGTGTTAATGGTAATGCAGTATTGGGGATATACTTGTTGGTATTAACATCTGTATATCCACAACACTGTATTACCATTTAACACCAAACACCAGGCTACAGATAAACATATAAACATCTGAGAAGATCAGATGGGGGTCAGTGAACAGGAGTATACTATAGACCAGGGATATACGGGTTGGTATTAGCATCTGTGGGAGCTCTGGTAGTGTAGTGCCTAATGCATTTGACTGCTAACCAAAAGGCTGGCAGTTCAAACCCACCAGCCACTCCTCAGAAGGAAGGTTGGACAATCTACTTTCATAATGATACTACCTCAGAAACCCAAGGAGGGGTGGCTATGAGTCGGGTCCAACTCAACGGCACATAACAACAAACAACAACATTAGCATCTATCGTCTATATCTTATGTACACAATTTGGTGTCCTCCCTTTTCCAAATGCCATCATGGTGGTCACAGACTCTTTCTATTCCATCCCTCCCTTACCCATATCAGCATATGGCCCCCAACTAACCCAAAATTAACCCCTCCTCCACCCTCCCCACCCCAGTAATGTACAAAGTGAGTTCCCTTTCTCAAGCAAACCCTTCTTTGTCTTTTTACAGTAATGGGCTCATAAAGTATTTGTCCTTCTGCGATTGACTTACTTCACTCTGCATAATGTCCTCCAAGCTCATCCACATTGTGAGATGATTCGCATATCCTTCATTGTTCTTTAATGTAGCACAGTATTACATTGTGTGAATGTACCATAATTTAGTTATCATTCATCCATTGATGAGCATTTAAGTTGTTTCCATCTCTTTGTGAATTGTGCTGCAATTAATACAAGTGTGCATATGTCTGTTTGTGCGCTGCCTCTCACCTCTTTAGGATGTATTCCTAGTAATGGAATTACTGGGTCAAATGTTATTTCTATTTTCAGTTTTTTAAAGAAACCCCATACCGTTTGCCACAATGGTTGCACCATTTTACAATCCTACCAGCAGTGCACAAGAGTTCCAATCTCTCCACAACCTCACCAGCATTTGTTATTTTCTGTCCTGTTTAACTTTGCTATTATTGCTAGGGTGAGATGATATCTCATCAGTGTTTTTATTTGCATCTCTCTAATGACTAAAGACCATGAGTGTTTGTTGGCCACTAGCATATCGTCTTTAGTGAAATGTCTGTTCAAGTCTCTTTTAATTGTGTTGTTTTTCTTTTTGGTGTTGAAGTGTTGAAGTTGTCTATAGATTTTGGAGATAAGTCCTTTATCATATATGTCATAGGCAAATATTTTCTCCCAATCTGTAGGTTCTCTTTTTACCCTTTTGACAAAGTCTTTCGATGTGCAAAAGAATTTGATTTTTAAAAGGTTCCAGTCATCTAACTTCTCTTCTACCTCCTGTGCACTCTGGGTTATGCTTGGTAGTCTATTTATGCTGTAAAGTAGGGCTCCTAGATTTGCCCCTATTTTATCTTTGATGAATTTTATAGTTTTGGTTTTTACATTTAAGTCTTTGATCCAACTTGAGTTTGGTTTCGTGTATGGGGTAAGGTATGGGTCCTGTTTCATTTTTCTCCAAGTTGATATCCAGTTTTGCCAGCACCATTTGTTAAAGAGGCAGTCTCTTCCCCCATTTAATGGGTTTTGGACCTTTGTCAAAGATCAGCTGTCCATAGATGGATGGATCTATTTCCGGACTTTCGATTCTGTTCCATAGGTCTGTCTATATATCATTGTACCAATACCATGCTGTTTTGACTACTGTGGCTGTATAGTAGGTTTTAAGATCTGGGAGTGTGAGACTTCCCACTTTGTTCTTTTTCTTCAGAAGTGCTCTGCTTATCCGAGGTCTCTTTCCTTTCCACATGAATCTAGGAATTGGTTTTTCCATGTCCTTAAAAAAAATTTGTTGATATCTGGATCAGGATTGCATTAAATGTGTAGATTGCTTTAGGTAGTATTGACATTTTCACAATATTCAGTCTACCTATCCATGAACAAGACAGGTTCTTCCATTTATGTAGAGCCCTTGTTGTCTCCTGTAGTAGTG